CGATAGTAGTAATTCTACCATTCAACTTCATTCTCGAGGGCACATGCAAATCCCGGCTTAATTAATAACTGATATCTGCAAATTTTTCACGCTAATCCTCTCGCTTTTGATATACAGATGGGCTAATATCTGGTCCAACCATGCCATACACTAGCTCAAAAAAAAAAAAGTTTTGTCATTCGGTATTTCGTATTTTTTAATTCAACCCAGTCATACCATTTCTCTAGTCTTCCTGAAGGTGATTTGCTGACTAAAACGATGACAAGAAGAGACCATAGATAAGAAAAACTTTACGTCACAATGACAGAAGTACTACCGCTAGGGCTGAGACGCAGGCGTTATGCGCCGATCGATTCGAAGCTTCAACATCCCCCCCAGCCCCAGGCACCCACGGAAAATTGACTCTCGTCTGTGCATGGGAGTAGAGAGTTTGAACCTTACCTGGGTGGGGTGGAGAATTTGACCCGGAAATTTCAAGTTTTTCCAGTGGAAAACAAGTGAATTTTCTTAAAATATGGAGGTGTTTAAGGTAAAGAGCTCATTTTTGCGAGCGAAGGGATAGCTCACAAGAAAACGTCTAAAGGTCTAGGTTTTAAAGCTTGGTCAATGGGTAGAAAGTCACGGTCGGCTGAGTTAGTCTTATATCAAAATAGTTGACAACTAAATCCGGCGCTTGGATAGAGCATTTGAACACGATTTTGACCCCGGGAGCGGGAATTTCAACATTGTAGCAATCTTCAAGGGTTTAAACACCCGCAGACAACAAAAGGAATAAAAAATCAATAAATTAATACAAAATAAATCACAAAAACTTAAAGCTTACCTTTAGTATTAACGAAATGACTAAAGTTGCTCTCTGCAAGAAATGGAAATAATTATGTAAATTTGTTGGCTTCAGAAGATAATGACCAAATTTCCACAAGAGTGAACAATTGAAATACACAATTTGATGAACGATTAAGCAGTATTACTGTCAGAAGAAATTAGATTCTGGTCACTCACTAAGTTTAAAGGGTTAATGAAATTTATATCATTATAAGGGGTCTTTTTCATTTATTTTAGATATTAGCAAATCAGTGCCTGAAACACCCATCCCCCTGTGTGGAATAGTGGTCCCTGTTTGAAGAGAGGTTAGATTATCTTTGAGGGAAAAAGTCATCTTAGTTAGCTGAGCTCTAGGCTTTACAAAAGCTGAATCAACTTAAAACTTGAATGATTATATTTTTGCGCCTCTTCTCAAACCCAAACTTTTTAAAAACTCTGTATACAGAGCCTGTTAAGATTGTACATACTGTACATGTATTTACATGTATTTAGCCCATAAAATGGAGTAATAGATACCTCCTATATCTGGTAATCAGATCTTTTTTTCTGACTTCTTCTGAGTAATGCACTAAACTAGTATCCGAATATGGAAGTGATCTTCGCAGTAATGAACACTACTCAAACAGTAGTGGAAATAAGCCATGAAAAAAAATTCAGGCCTGTACGGGATTTGAACCCATGACTTTTGCGATGCCAGTGCAGCGCTCTACCAACTGAGCCAACAAGCTAACAGAGAGCTGGTCATCGTGTTGGTTTTAAATAAACCTGTGAGTTGATGAATAAACTCGTTCAATCAAGCTAGTTTCGCCAGAGAAAATCGGTTAAATGGACAAAGATTCTTATTTTTGCAGTTTTGGGAGAAAGCCCCATACCTAAGGAAGTTCTGAGGCGTGAGTTAAGATTTGAGATTAACAAACACTATGCAGCACGAGTGTCACTAACCGAGATGTTGATCACTGATTCTTTTCGCCTTCAGTATCTGAGCATAAAAGTCAATGTGATGATCCTATGTCCCAGTTATTATCTGAGGAGGATATGCGGAGACTTGCGGAACCTACACCGGGTGTGTTAGCCATAACCATAGAAGGGGTAATTTTCTAAAGAAACTGTAGTGCTGCGTCGGCGGGAGACTATAACAAGATAATTTTGTATTATCAACTGAGTTGAAAACGCAAGTAGTAGGGATACAAAAAAAACCTGTTTCTGTTGCCATTTTTAAGCTTCAACTGCAACGGAGTCAGTGCAGGCTAACAGCTCATTCACGAATCCACCAAAGCGTCACTTTGATTAAGCTACCGAGTAAAGTAATAATTTTAGAGGGAATTCTTCCCTTCGTACTTTGTGAGGACTCTAACAGTGTGTTTATTCGTTCAGAAATGAACCTGGGTGGAAGCTAACGCAAGTTTCTCCTATTGACTTCTGCTATGTACGGCTGCACCATATTCCTGTGTAGGATTCTAACATTATGCGTATTTCGTATCATATTAGGTATTTTTAACAGTCTGGGCTTCTCTCCACCCAGGAGTGTAGATGGGTTCCAGAAAACCATCGCCTGACGAAATGTTGGGGGGGGAGGAACATCCCTTCCAGGGGGAGAGTAGCGGTATTATTTGTCTCTTCATGCTATAAATACAGGGATTAGATCTGTCGAGATGAGCCTTCGGGCTCATAAGTTAATTTTGCCTTACATGTTTATTTACGAGTTGCTACTGTTTCAAGTGCGATGTCCATAACTGATGCACTGAGTCATTTGATGATCATTTTCTATATTCTCGTGACCGTAATTGTGACTCAGGGGTGATATTGTGAGGAGAAATAAGAAACTAGTTACTCTGAGAGTTCAAAGGCTTTAGGGCTCTGTCCACAGTTCTCAGTGAAGGGGTTTAATATTTCCGTCCATGAAAGTTTTTGGTGTGGTTTACAGATCGTTCACACGACTGCATTAACATCAAGAGATAGTTGTGTCACCATAAACGATCCTACTGAAAAAGCAACAGGGAGGCTAATGGATATAGGATAAATAACCGACTGCTGCAAACTTAGTACTGATATAAAAAAAATCACCTGAATACCTTGTCTGTCTTAACATATGGTATACAACACTCTTTAATAAGAGATGTTTCGTTGCTTTCCACATTGCTCAAGGGGTTCTTAATTTCAGAATCCGCTTCACCGCTTGTCGTATGTTAGACTGACGCCAAAAATACATCACAGGGTTGAGTGCAGAATTGAGAAAAAAAGTGTACTGCATAATACTTACAGAAGCCTTTTCTTACGAAAAAACAAGCGACAGATGTTGCAAGGTAGGGAAGGTAACAAAATAGGAAAAGAAAGTACACCTAAAATGTGGTCATGGCAGATCTTCGAGCGCATCCCGTGGTCTGTATTTCAAAGGGAGGGGATTTCTCGAGCAGATACAGGAACCTTTCTTTCTGATGTAAAAGAAGGGGTGGTTTATGAAAAACTGAATTCCAATTTAAGAATTCCAATTTAAGAGTTTTTCACAAGTCCCAGACACAAATTAAGCCATCCATCAACGGTTGTGAAAGTGTGCAAAATAAGTAACATTCAGATATGAAATTTGGCTTAGCTTCTCCCCCACCCCTCCCCCCTCTCTTTACATAGGAAAGCCTGTTGACCATTGACAATACGCCGCACGGACCTAAATAATATGTTGTGACTATCAGAACTGAACTAGATCCGAGTAAAGGGGGTTAGCTTCTAAAGAAACTGTAATGCTGCGTCGGTGGGGGATATTACAAGGTAATTATATTGGTTTTAACAAACTGAGTTGGTGATGCAAATTGGCCACCGTAATGCCGGAGTTTCTAAAGCTGACGACTCTAACGGTGTGTCTATTCCTTCGTTTAGAAATGATCCTTGGTGCATGAGCATTTATGCAGAATGTGAGCGTTTTAACACAACCGATAAGTTTGAAAGTATGTAAAAGAGGTTCCCCACCACACCGAAAAAAAGGAAGGAACTCAGAGGCCAAAGTTATCTCTGTTTCGTGCAATGAAGATTATTCACAGGCTCCTTACGCCCACAAATTTTCTTCAGTCGTCATAGGGACACAAAAACGAGTCACTTTTCGATTTAAGCAAAAAAAAAAAAGAACGTTTTCAGTTTAGTTGGCAACAAAAACGTGTGCATTGATGTACGTGTCCAAAGGGTTCAAGTGTAGACCACTAAATGAGGGTCTTAATGGGGTTAACTGTCGCCGTAAAACAAAATACAAATTTAGGCTTTGAAACTGACAAATTTATAATGTTAGTCGTAAGGAAGTTAACCGTAAAATTTTTGATATCAACGGTGTGTCACTAAAAGTGTCATAATCTTAAACTGGTATGTACCTTGTCTGGAATTACCCTTGTTGCTTGACTCTTACGGTAAAAACAAACGAGTAAATATGTTTCAGAACACAGTCCGAAGTTTTGGCTCGATGATTGGAAACACGATGAAACCGGAAGTGTAATATATATAAAGTAGTGTAATTTATACCATTATTTCATTGTTATTGATTAATGTTATTTTTTTTCCGAAAGGCTATGCAGGGTACCATTTTATTTATGGCTGTTACTCAGTAATACTATGGTGTTTCAAAGTGTAGCAAACTTCAGTATCATGTGAGGCCTTACGAGAGCTGCCACCTGGCTCAATGAACACTATGTATTACCCCGTTTGATTTATTGAAAATAGTTCTATCATGGTATTTCAAAAATAGTTTCCCTTCATATTTCGTAATTTATGATCCTTGGTAATCAACTGCCTCTGTCATTATTCTTGTTCTCGTTTTTTTCCTCTCCTCGTCGCTTTTTTCCTTTCCAGAAGAAGTATTTTTTACAATTTATTTCAAACACATGCAATAGGGTTCGCTAAGTTGTTTAAATGATATTTCATGCTGCACGTAAACTAAACAGCAGAGGAATACCCGAGTTAGATAACGACATCTATATTGAACAATAAAATGTAGAGGAGAATGAATGGGTCTCAGGCTTAAACAGATGTTGTAATCCTCGCTCCGCTCTGTTTCCTCTACAACAACTGCAAATCAAGTCACTTTTACTTTTAGAAAATCAGGCCTTTTCCTGAGGAACGCTTACAGTTCGAGTTTGAGACGGGATATTTTCTTATCCTTGAAAATCCACAGGGGAGCAACTCACATAGAAATATTACTGAATATTGGTTTTATTACCAAGACTATACTCAGATTACAGTCAAGATGTAACCCTGAATACTAGAAAATATTTATCCCCAAAAATGTTTTTGCACTACACCCTTGGTTACTGAAGCTTAAATCGTAATTAAAAAATTCATGATTACACGATACAACAATAAATTATAACATACTATTGGATAAATGAGACTAAAGCTTGTTCTCAAACGTCCATTAATTAGCTTCTTGAATAAAAATTTCCAACTCTATACCAATATTACAGTAAAGATGTAACCCTGAATACTTGTAAAGATATAACCCCAAAATTGTTTAAAGCTTTGCACTACAGCCTTGGCTACAGAAGCGGAGCAGATTACATCGTAATTAAAAAAAGTCATGAATACACGATACAACAATAAATTCTAACATACCATTGGATAAATAAGACTAAAGCTTGTTCTAAAAAATCAGGTGATTAGCTCCTTGCATAAGAATTTCCAACTCCACACCAAGATTACAGTAAAGATATAGCCCTGAATACTAATAAAGATATAACCCCAAAAATGTTTAAAGCTTTGCACTACAGCCTTGGCCACTGAAGCGGAGCAGATTACATCATAATTAAAAAAGACATGATTACACGATACAACAATAAATTCTAACATACTATAGGATAAAAAAGACTAAAGTCTGTTTTTAAAACTTCAGTTGATTAGTTTCTTGAATTAGAATTGCCAACGAGAAGAGTTACAACGTTGATTCTCACCAGTTAAAGTGATGATAGAGCAGAAATGTTTACTTATCACCAAAGAACATATCTTGGTCTTCTTCGTAATCTTTCTCTCGTTTTTCAACTTTTTCGTCGTCTTCATATTCTTCTTCCATCTCATCGTCTTCCTCGCTCATATCGTCTTCATCATCTCCAGATTCTCCTCCTCCTCCTGAGTGTTCGGGATTCTCTTCACCTGTTACCAAGGGAAAAAATAGTTCCATATATATATTTTCTCTTCCAAGATCTCATTAGTAGTTCTTCTTGGTGTCTGTTTTACTATTCTAGTGATGTTAGTTAGACTCGTCAGGTCATAGTTATCATATTACAATCAAATATTACAGCAATAAAACATTATCAGAACGTTTCAACTTTTGGTTAATCTGTTTTATAGTTTTCATTGAGTGGTTATAATACCGTAACAAAAATTGCAATTCTTACGGCAGTTCTTAGACACGTAATAGGCAGACTTTTTGCAATGAGCATTCAATGCCCAATACTTGCCATTCTTGTGCCATTACCTCACAGCTTTAATTTGATAAGAAATTCAGTTTAAGGGTAGTCCTCAGAATAATCAGACTGGGTTTGTTTATTATTTTGCCAAATACAGCAAATCATAAACCTTTTTCAGGAAAATCTTGGCTTTATCGGTTTGACTTACAGTTTCTGGACCTATTGGCCTCTATCACTATGTTTTTCGCACATGGACAGTCTACCAAATTTTTAGTAGCTGCACGCAAATGATAATAAATTGAATTCAAAGATTCTTATATATAAGAATCACGACTCTATAATAGGTGAAAAATGGCCTTTTTACTGGCCGCTCGGTCGGATTTTGGGGATGCCGACGCTTGATGACAGTCATGTTTGGAAGCGTCGTGTCTTTCTCTGTAGTTTCGCTCGCTCATTTGTATATTGATATGATTTAAAATGTCAAATTGCTTTTCATCCATCTGCTTTACACCCTATCTGAGATCTTGGTCATATAAATAAAACCAGGGAACCACTCACCCCAGGCCCCGTCACGTGAAGTCAGTTCTGCACAAGGATGTTCGAAGCGCAAGAGATATTAGCAGATATCTCTCACTAAAAAGAAAATCTGAACATCAGAGAAAAAACGCTCGGCTCTCACCTGACTTACAACCGTTTTTGGGATTAAATCCTCCTTGGCAATGGCAAACCTTTTTATTAGTGCAGACCTAGAAACATTTTGTAATGATTAAAATTTTAGTTAGAAAATTCTTTATGACTTCAGTGAAATTTCTTGATTCAAGTTACACTTATACATTCGAATTCACATTGCACTGCTTTCCATTCAATCGCATTCACTTCCCAAAAAGACATTTGAATATTTTATGGCAAGAGCTTTACTACGCAAGCTTCTAAAAGAGTTTCCAAGTCAGAGGCAGAACAATTTCTGCGAATAATGCTGAGTCAATAACAAATATCAGTTCGTTGAGAATCCATATGATTATTGTTTTCTTCTGACAGCTGTTCATTCCTTTCAAATTACAGACAGTTAAGTGGGAAAAATTGATTTCGCTTGGACGATGGTGTAAAACATTAACTGCGTAGAATTTCCCGGCAAAACCTGGAAATATTAGCTCCTTTTTTTATGCTTCTCACGAACTCAACATTAATAATTACTTACCCCTCTTCCCGCACACTCTTTGTTGCCGACCACTGGACACTTGCCAACCAGATTGAGAGAACTTAGTGACTGGCACTTGTTATTGATACACATCTTAGACAGACATAGACAGGAGTAAACTTTCAGACCAAGGTAAACATGTTAACCCGGAAAGAGGGTTCACAGTGTATTTATATAGACAGACAGCGTATTGTGGAGAGGTGGAATCGTGCGGAGGTTGGATGGACATGAGATAACAGACTCACATTTGTTCTTAGAAGAACACCGAAAGCACTCTTCACTAAGTATTAACCCAGAACTTATTTTTCTAAAATTATATTCTCCATGTTCATAGAAATTTTTTTAACATGGAACTCTACTAACTCTTGTGACCTAATGGTTGATGTTCTTCCATACTATTCTTACGATGAATTGATTGTACAGAAAAATGTTTCCTAATGTGAGATGTAGCGTGGATCATGGTGTATGAAAGGGGTCGGTTTTTTCCAAAACGGCTTTGTATTTATGAAACAGGAAACGTTACAAGTGTTTGAGATTGTGTTTGGATATAAAATTAATAGCCTGCATGACGGGACGAATCCGGAAAGGGTATTAAAAAGAGGGCAATGGTATCGTACCTTATTGCGTCCACATTTCGTTCCTTCTCTTACCACTCCCAGTCCAATACTGTCACCACTTTTCAGTTCTACAGCGCTGTAAGAAGTAAAACCGCGTTTGACTAAGTGATTTTGCATTTGTTGAAAATATGATCCAAAAGTGATAAAACAATTTTTTTTTCCAATTGTTAGTTTTAATGGTTTCGTTTCCAAAGATAGGTAAGGGAATTGAACAGAAGGCATCTAATGGAAGTTCAAATATGGATTTACTCAAACAGAGAAATTCCTAAGAGTCAAATCGCAAAGACAAAGTAAAAAACCACGAGTCTCGCGTTTTGAAACTCGTCCTTATTATCTAGCTTACGATAGGCACTTCATATGTTGACCCCTTTTTCTCAGAGGAACAAAAAGAAAGTAATACTAACTTGCATTTTTTCCCGGAAGGCAAAATAATTTTTTTGTCTCTGGCCCGTCCATAATCAACAACAGGTTTTTTTCTGCTTTCGTCCGCTTCACATTGCAGCTGGCCGCACAAAACATCCCTTAGAGAAAATATATTAATTAGTTGATGCCAAGCTAAGAACTTGATACACCTCACTACACAGAACGTGAGAAACTCGATTTACTAGTTAAAAGGACTTTAATGAAATCTTACATAGGTCGAGTTTAAAGACTCTTGTTAATGGTTAAATCAGACATTTTCTTATTACTTTTCTTTTTTGCTCATGAAACGAAATCGCTTTTTTAATAAAAGCTTAAGATGCTTATATATTTAAAACAAAGAGTTATGTCATCTTCTTTTGGCTGTTTATCGAGCGCTCTTCTTGTAGTTTGTAAAGTACACTTGATAAGTTGATTAATTTTCTTAGGAATGGTACTACGCTCACTAAAAAGAATGTCATGTACCTTGCAGCACATCTCTTTTTGGTGTTTGGATCACATGTACCATATCCTCTAGCCTCAGTGTTCAGCTTGTCATAGCATCCCTGGTCAGCGGTTTTGGCGGCTGTAATAGGTCGAGTTAGTATCAAATGAGTAAAGGGGGTAAGTTTTTGGAGGAACAGAGGTGCTGCGTCGTTAGGGGTAAAACAAGTTAATTTTGTTTTATCAACCAAGTTGATACTGTAAATTGGCCACAGGTATAGAGTTCAAAAGCTGACGTTTCGAGCGTTAGCCCTTCGTCGGAGCGCAGAAAGACGCCAATTAACCATAATTGAACCGAAAGGCTTTGAGCATCCAAATTTTCTCATTTGAGGGTTTTAGGTCCAGCTCCTGTCGGGTGTACTCGTAGTGTCGTCTATTTAAGTATTTAACTAAAAAAAATCATGTTTGAAATAATTCATGTACCTTGAAGAAAGACACCTTTGTTTAGGAAAAAAAAAAACATTGAATTGGCAACTAAAATAGATTGTAGATAACATACAAATACTTAAATAATATTTGATAAATTGAAGTAAAGGCAAACAGTGTTTGTATCAAAACGCTAGGTTACATACAAGGAGGAAAAAATGAGCATATTTACTTACTAGCTCCCCATAAGTCCTTACACTGAGTGTCAAGAGTTTCGCTGCACTTTCCAAGATAACAGAAGGACTGAGATAGGAAAGAAAATGAGAGTGGTTTTCAGAAGTAGGTAAACAACTGACTGCGAATGATTACAATATCCTTAGCTTACATCGGACTGTTTTTCGTCACCACTCGCAGAGTACGTTTTCCACCGCCGGCCATCAGAACTGTAGTGTAAGAAGAAGCCGGTCACCCAGTAGTACCAGCTTCCACGTCCTTGCATCAAGATTTTACTGACAGTTTTAACCTAAAATTGTAAAAGGACGAAAAGGTAATATAGAAAAGACCCTGTATTAATGTAACAATTAAGATAAAAATGTTTAAGGATGATCAGTTATATTAAGGTAGCTCTGAGGGCAGGAGGTGGCTTCGTAGGAGATGACTCTGAAATGATGGTGCGTCAAACATAATGAATTCAATTTATAACCCGTTACCACTGAATCAACACTGTATGTAAAGCTTTCACCTTTGAGATTTGACAATCGATTACAGTTGGCTGTTTTTGAATATTGTATGACCTCTTGATATAAATCGGGTAATAGAGATTCTTTAATCTTTAGTACAAATTCCAAACTACATTGCAACGCACAATCTAATGAATTTGAACTACATTGCAACGCACTGTCTAATGAATTTGAGGACAGCTTAGAACAGAATGCAAGATTTCATTGTAAAAGCCGCCTTAGAGTATCTAAGATTCTTATAGTTAGTTATTTACCTCGTTCAAAAATGAAAATTCTACTACAAAAAAATACGAAATAAGAAGTTCCTTTTCGATGAAAAGGGACAACAAGTGTTCGATAATCAACATTTCTCAAAGGCTTGTTGCAAGAACGAAACGATACAAAGTCCAAAATAAACTAAATTATATATATATATATATATCCTCAAAACTTTTAAACAAGAACTAAATCACGAGTTTCCTTACGATATTGTAAAGGGTAATAACTTAATTTATTGTTTTTTTAGAGGGCACGGTAACGAATCTTGCAATCTGATTGGTTCTTTACCCGGTCAGTATTTTCCTATCTCTGCCCACGGGCCACGGTAACGCTTTCGTGAGTCGCCGAGTACATCCCAACTTTCGTTGTCATTTTTCATAAATATACCTCGTTTTCCGGCTGGGCAGTATTTTTAAGCAAACACGTCGGTCACTACCTCAAGCCGATAAATAACTTATGAATCCTCTCTTTTCTCTCTATCAAATCACTTTGGTTGACAGAAAAATATTGGTTTCAGAATGAATTTGTATAAACAATAGTGTCATTACGTTGGTTGACAAGCGGCCTAAAAACCGTCTGCAATTAATTTTAATCGTTCACAAAAAGTACCCAGAAAGTTGAAACGTGAGGTATTTGGTTACAGTTAAACTGAACGATGGAACTTTCATTCATTTAATATCTGAATTTTCTCGAGCAATTTGTTCATAGTGAAAGAGCGAGCGAAGTTTTAATTTAAGTTCTACAACAAATATACGCTCCTGGTGAGTCTTTCCAATTCCGTTCAATTTGGACATTTGTACCTTAAATAGCACAAATTCCCTTGTGTCTCGTTGGAGTGTGCCGTTCGAATTTAGTTTTTGTGAAGGAAAGATCAGAGTTAAACACGCCATTACAGCAAACAAACGAGCAAACTCTCACAACTTCAAAATAAAAAAATTGAATTTACTCACAATTACTTTCCTCGCCGTTTACTTAATGAACAGAGGTAAATCTTCGTACATGAATGAATGGTCGATGAGAGTGAATAATACTTTCCGTTAGATCATTAACTGATTTTGAAGAAAACATTGTTGTGACAGTCCTTGCCAAACTAGTTCTGTTGGTTTTCAAATGTTCCCACGATTTTTTTTTTCTTGCGCGCTCTCTAATTGACAGGTGTCAGATTGTGACAGATACTTGTAAAAATAATGTTTCAAAGTTTGTTTGGAAGCCTTTTAAATCACCTTTATCGTTACGGAAATGAAAATGTTTCGCTGAGGCATCTCTCTTAAATTTGCATCACCTCTATTTTAACTACCATTTACCCACTCAAAAATTGTTCAGTTTATGAAAGATCTTGCCGTATTTACGTCCATAAATCATTAGGGTTCTTTCGGAAAGAATTTCGTCAAGTTTAAAAACAATAAATATGTTATTTACCGGCTAAGGGTCGGTTCGTATGGTGAAAAACTGTGACCTCGGTCTTGAAAATGCTGCCCTCGGCCTACGGCCTCGGGCAGTATTTTCAAGACCTCGGTCACAGTTTTTCACCATACGGACCTCCCAGCCGGCAAATAACATATATTTACTTAGGCGCTTGTGCTGAGTAAACTTCTCAATATCTTTCCTTATATTCTGTTTTTGCATTTTTCTCAAACTATCTGACTATTCTTATCTACTATCAAAACGTACCTTTCCCAGGTCAACTTGTAGATATTCAGTTTTTCTTTTGGCTTCGGCACACCAGTAGTTTTTTCCTTTGAGCCTTGCATAATAAGCGAATTCTTGACCTCTCACTGAGGAAGCAGTAATCTGACGGTCTTTGATTTCACCGTTCTGCATTCCAAGTGGCTCCACACAATCTATAAGTATACGATTTAGTACCATGTACTGTGTTGAAAGGAAAGTATATGCCAATTTTCTTAACTCGAAATTAAGTTCTTGAAAAAATTGGATGCTATGGATAGGATTTAAGGCGCCAAGAGGGGCCAGTGTCTCTCCCACACAGCAAAAGAGGGCCCACCCAGAGTTTGAAAGAGGACCTTTTCTATATAAACCGTCGCGTTAACCACGTGACCACCGCTTTTCCTGCAACTTATACTTAAAAGATGTGGTATGTGGCAAGAAAGTTTACCTTGTTTCCCGAACCACAGTTGTAGCCTTTGCACATCGCATCCAGACCACAGTACCATCTGTCTCCCGTTTCCTGGCCAGGCTCCAGAAGTATGAATACATCTGCCAGATTTAACGTGCTTTAAAGATCGCCCTATCAAGTGCACAAACAAACAAAACAACTAGCCATCAGAAAAAAAAAAGAATGCAATTAATTGAAATTCCTTCAGGTTGGTAAGCGGTGAAAATTTTAAAAGGAAATATGCATTTCTTCGGACTTACCTACGGTTCGTACTAATTTCGAGTCTGCAACTTTACAAGTCCTGCTGACAACAATCTTTGCACCATTATGAGTCCCGCCATTTTCGGGACAGACCAATTTCCCACTGCAAGCGTGGCGTAACAATCCGTCTTTGAAAATGAATTGAAAATGTCTCTCTGAGCACCTGCTACCGGTTACAAATATGATGGGGTCGTTGTCACGTGGGGAACAACTCTTGCTTGATGGAGTCAGACAAAAGTCAAGGTTGTATGACTTCAACGGTGTAGGGGCAGTTGGATTTGCTGTAAAAACGAGCGTAAAGAAACACGTTAGAATAGAATGGTTATTTGACTTCCGGACCCATGTTTGCGCTATCTTTAGTCTTCCTATTTCAACTCAGAGGACATTGCACTGTTGATCTTCATGGTTTACAGAACACGTCATGGCACAATGACCACAAGTGTCTGGTACATACTCAACAACGTTGAGTAGAATTGTAGCATATCATTACCTTCACCCGCAGAACATCCCATGAAGTCGGTTCTTAGACAAGGCCAGCCATGCCAGTATTGAGGATTGATACGAAGATATCGAGCGTTGACCATAGGGTTCAAGTCCCTTGCGACTACACCATAGAAGTTAGTGTTTCCATGTATAACCTTCAAATAATTTCAGAGAAAAAAATTCAATGATTAACACAAGGACTTTCCGCAAAGAAATTAAAATGTAACTCGTAGGTGGCAAAATTTATCTTCACAACCCAAAGTATACAGACTCAGCGATGCTCACCGGCTTTTAGTCAAGCGAGTTAGATGTACACGGATTTAAAAGAAAAACAGCAAAGAGAAGTAAAGGTAAATCTGTTTTTTTCATGCTATGAATTACTTGGTTTTTGTCCAAACCATTCTCGTGGAAATAAGCAAACGAGAAGAAAAATTGCAGAGGAAAGGAATCACATCGAAGACCGACGAGATTAAAGCAAAATTAAAGGTAGGTGACGAGTAGATGGTAGTATTCTTCGTTTGAAATGAGTGCTGGTCACCTAGTTATACGCATTACTGGTAAATTAATAATATTTAAAGGCAGAACTTAGTGGCACTTCTGTAAAAGTGAAAAACGTTTTGCACTATGTAACATGCTATCTCTCTGATCATGAGAAACGTACGGTTTTCGCCTGGCTGCATGGATATCCATTAATGATGTAAGCATCCTCAGGACACTGAAAGAGTAAGAGTGATCAACTGTGAAGCTTCTTAAGCTTGGCAATTAAACAACATTGGGATTTGCTCTTGAAGTAATCTAAAGTAACAATTCTTTTATCGATATTAAAACCCAAGCTATGTTAGACATGAGTGATACACTGACTCCTACGCTATTGTACAGGTATTGTGATTTAAAGGTTCACACACACGGCTGGTGGTAACCTCGGCAGGTGAATTGATAAAGTTATGCACATGAATTTTGCAGCTAACATTCTGACAATTTCTGGCGCCGTGTGTTTGTTTTATTTTGTATATAACCAAATAACATATAATAACAATAACAATAACATATTTTTACAAACTCACATTTGATAGCTACTACTCGGTGGTTTTTATGACACAATAATTTCTGAGTCAAATTCTCTATTTGCTTACGTCTCTTGAGGAACCAGTGCAATATTCTGGAACATCACAATCAGTTTGGACTCCACGACATAACGTTCCTCGTTTCTTAAACTAAACGAGAGTCAGAATACGCCGTTAGATCGCGTAAAGCACAAAGAACCGTAAGATTCAAGGATGAAACACTTTGATTTATTTGTTACAATTATTTTGGATCCTATACCACGCATTTATAGCGAGAAAATTGATCTTTTAGGCAATTGAAAAAACAGTATTTCTTCCTATGGTGTAGTTTCTTATTTTCTTCCGCAAGTATACCCTAAAAATATAAAGTACGTTTGCTGTCTAACCGTACAGGTGCGCCCGTGCTATCGTATTTTCATTCATAATCAAAAGAAGTAGATAATGTTTTGACCTGTGGATGATAATCAAGTAAAGAAAAGCCCTTGCACGTGAGCTGCAATTGAGGGAATACCAGAAAAAGATGAATATAAAATCCAGACCAATATTCTACTTAAAAGGACACTTTTTCACAGCAGCTGTTGTCAGTTCAATGTCTATAACCCTTCTTTAAATTTCATCCAACAGTCAACGCTTCTCAGTTTCATGAGTCCGTAATATTGAAGGGATTATTGATTATTTTGTTACCTGGCAGTTCTTGCAGCATGAGTGATGTAAGTCACTGCACTGTGATTCCTTTTTAAGGACGCAGTTGTGAGGTACACAGCAAGGATCTTTGGCCTGGCACATCTGAGGAGATTAAAAACCGTTTTCATCATTCCTGATCGTGTCCGAAGAATGAACGTTGTCACGTCGTGAAAGTAGTCAGCTATTGTAAGTGTTAGACAATTTAACCCTTTAACTCCCAAGATCTCATTTGTAATTCTCCTTACTGTCTGTCATATACTTCTTGTGGTGTTAGAATTTGATATTTGATCAACTAAAAATCGCCTAGTTAATATTTTTCCTTATTCTCATCACTTGTCTGCTTGATATTGTAAGGATAAATTCTTCTTGGTCGCCCATGGGAGTTACAAGGTCAATATGTCCCTACGATGACATTAGCCTTTGCAAGGAAATCACAATAAATCCCAAGCTAAAGCAATTTAAATAAACACAAAGCAATTTATCGCAAATGCTTTCAGAACAAAATCTTTGAACCTGAACTCTCTAAAAAGGAATATTTCTCAGATCATTACCATTTCTACTAAAGAATTCATCATTTTTATGAAATTTCGTTGTGAAGTATACAACTGGGGTATCGGTTGCTAGGGTGATGAGATATAGCATCTTAATATGAAACCACTATCTATCAACATTTAGAAAAAACTCTCCTGGCCAACCTCTTGTTTTAAATGTTGCTCGATTATGAGCCACTGAGTTTCACGCGAGCTAGTCCTTTTTTTCTCTCTGAGAGTAGTTATTTCCCAACAACGAAAGTTCCGGTTCGCTAAAAGTTGATGCAACTCTCATTTTAACCTTTTCATTCACACGATCCAAAAAACAATTCTCTGTAGTGACTGCCATACATTTTCATGATATTATCCCAGAGAATTTGATACTAAATCAAGCAATTTCCCCTGGTTGATGTTTTTCTCTCTTATCGTCACCTTTCCACTTGAAAATCTATTAAAATATTAATGAGAAATCCCCTTATGGTCGACTATATTATTTGCCATTCATGCAACTTTACAAACCTCAGGGGTACCGCAGTCGCACTCCTCTCCTTTCTCGCGTATGCCATTTCCACAATAACTGTTGTAGGCCTAAAGGAAAATCAAACGAACCAACAGCCTCAAGATGTTCTTCTAGCTTCTGAAGTGCATATTTTAACCACAATCGAAACCGAATCAGTCAGCAAAAATGAGAATTTCAAATAACATATTTTCTGACATATAATTTGCCATACCCATGTTTGTGACGGTTACATCCAAATTTTTTAACATTTAAGCCCTTGAGTATCATCGTAAGGCTAACCAAATTTTGATTGGAAAATGAGTTCCTTGTATGAAAGGACTTCGTTACATAGGGGATACCTTTATTTTGTCGAAATTTTTAGGGCTGTTCCTGAATAAAGTTTGCATCACTATTCCAGGAAGTTACCTGGTTTACTTTGTTAGGTTACAGAGCCGTTTTAAAAAGTTCTTCAAAGGTGACCCTTTTAATGAAGGAACTCCTTAAAAGGTCGATAATCTTAGTATTAATTATCATCCAAAATATCCCCCCCCCCCTTTCTCTGGTTTCTTATGGTTACCTTGTAAGTTGGTACGTTGTACAAGCATGCATCATTGACCTTTTGAAGCGATTTAAGGCTGCAATCCGAAAATCCTGGAAGTCGAGACCTGAAATCAATATTGGGGAAATTTCAATAAATGATTGTAAATGTAGCAGATATGTACACATCACCTACTCAAGAAAAACATACAACTACGATGGATTTCGTCTTTCACTTTAATTGCTCCTCTGCCTTCGTCCAATTTTTTTGTAAGATTTTATTTGTATTCAATTGTATTTTATTGACTGAGTTTCTGTATGATGTTTTGTCGAATAACTCAACATAAGCACTCCGTGGAAGAAAGAAAGAGTGGTTTACCTTCATTGTCATTGAATACTATGACAATAGAACAAATCGCAATAAAAATTGACGGTATTATTAAGGTGAAACTAAGTTATAATAATAACACACTCTTTATATAGAGCGCTATTTCTATCGCCATCCAATAGTACTTTATAATGACTGGAGTAAACATAAAGTGCTTGAAAATCCCAACCGGCAGGGGGCAGACCAGTTGGTTATTTACACAGCGAAGCTGAGGAGTTGAACTCGTGGCGACAGAGAACAAATCCAGGAAATGGTGGGGTAGAGGACTTGAACCTGAGACCACCAGATTTCAAGTCCAGCATCCTAACCAATCAGTCACACCAAGTAATTTAAGTGTATCTCATTGCCAGATGTTTCAGAGAATGACCTACCTGGTACTTCCCATGAAACAGCCTCGTGAAGTTAAGCACTTGCAGGTCCCTGCATTTTGACGAAAGGTTGTGTAAATTAGAAAAAATAACAATAATAACTGGTAAGGTGAACAATTTAACAAAATTAGTAGCTAAGAACTGTAAAATAGTTTTTTAAAAAATCGAACACTACTGAGTCAAAATTTCTTTTTGGGTATTGCGAGAATCTGTATCAATACTTAAGGGTTTGATTAGATTTGTGTAAAACACAAAAAAATTTAGGTTAAAATCTAAAAGTTGTATTGCTGTCTCCTCATCTGACATTAGACCCTGTAGGTATCGTGTGAATTTTCATGTTTTCATAACTATTTTCATACGCAACTCTAAGCGAAGATCATTCCACCGCTATTTGCGATTAGAAAAGCTCTCTTTTGTCAAGATAATCGAGAAAAAATGAATTTGATTTCAAAAGTTTCACAATTCTTACCAGTATCGTGATTGAACGCAAAGTTGTGACCCAACTCATGAGCAACAATTACATAAGGACCAACACTACTGCTATAAGACCACTACGAAAAAAATATTTACCATTAACCATATGTCGATCTTTAAATTCTAGGATGAGTAAGAAATCTCTTTATACTACGTTTGAGCATGCTCCTACCAGCGTAATTTAAGCTTAGAAAAAGCCAAAGCCGGCGCCACTTTAGGAAGTATTTCGTTTGAGTGCTGTAAATCCAAACATATCGTAATTACTACAGCCAATCAGAAAAAGGGAAAGATCACAGGGGACCAAAGGGAAAGCAAAGTCAAAAAAGCAATTTGTCTGAATCGCGGGAAAACGGCGGGGATCAAATCATGACTAATACTTCTTTTGCCCTGTTTGATCGAGATTGGCGTTGAGATTGGCGAAAGTATTCTAAAGGATCTCAGGACATAGTGAGGCAAAAACAATGCAATTCATATTTCTTCGCATAACTTACGGCGTTGATAGAGTTTGAATTTCCGCCACACATCGAATTGACCCATGCTAGACCAGCAATATTCGGGGGCCAACCTTTGTGACTGAAAAAAAAAAAAAAAAATAAAAAATAAGCGAGATAAACCTGGAAAACTTATTTTCCTCGACGACTGAGGTATAAAGTTCACGAGACCGACCAACGACAAAAAGCGAACTTTTTGTTGTCTACTGTTTACCATTTTCCGCGATAAATATTCCTTGTTCAATACCCACGGATATTTTGCGCGTTGCTCGGCTTTTTTTCTGAGCCCCGTAGGGTAGTATAGTATATGCGTAGTATTACATTGATCTCCGATAAGTTTCAAAACAAATTAATGATCTACCACACAGCTGGCAAGACACGGAAGTTTTCGTTCTTCTTGGCAATCAAGCGACATTAGATGATAGAGGGTTAACTGAGAAGAATATTTTTTTGAGGTGAAGGACACTATACTCTAGATCATGTGTTGTAACTCAAACCACCCCCATCGATCTTTTGAGATTCCTGGTGGTTTTCAGAGGATTTTACTCTTTAAAAAGGTTTCTCCTCTAATCGGAAGACGTTTTTGAGTTGGGAAGTGTGAAAAAAAACTTTCATTAGGATGAAAAATTTTACCTTAGTAAAAGAGCGTTGTCATGAGGGAACCTTTTCACCAAATGTTTATTTCGATAGGCCCTGAAATTGCGTAATTCACTCCCTGCATTTCGCACACGCCCGAAAGGATCTCTGTTTGTCCAGATTTCCAAGTACTTCAGAACTATCCTGATGTTGATTCGCTGATAGATCTTTACAAGAGACAAAAAATCAAAAGATATTTAGTTGGTATATAATTAATTCATCCTTTATTAACTTTTGATATGTTCAGCACCATTAGGGAAATCTAAGCAATAAGAAGAATTGCGTAATGACTATGTACTTATCGACAACAAAATCAAGTCAGATCAAACAATAGTGGAAATTATTCTTTCTTGCTTTAAAAATGCATTGATAATGAAGGGACAGTTTCGTTTTTGGTCATCTCTGGGATTGAAAGGGTTAATCTATACAAAGACAGAGTGGATCTGGGGGAGGGCTTCAGGAGGTACCCACCCCCCCCCCGGAGATATAACGGATAAGAAAACTAGCACGAAATATAAATAGGACTATGGTACGACTTCATCCTGAACCTTGATCACCCGCAAGCGAGGACTGATTAACTTCACAAATTTTATAATCTATCTTAAATGGTTGAAGAAGTTTAAATGGTCAAACTACTTTAAATGCAGTTCAACTTCACAAATTGCACAATCCATCTCAACTGGTTGAATGAGTTGAAAATCATGATCCCATCCTGGAAAATTTTGAAATTCTGACACAGGGCATTCAGAGTCACCATTACATTCTGATGCACCATGTCTTTTAAGAGTGACCAAGGCAAAACTTCTCCTTACACCATCAACACAATATCAATCAATCATCAAGCAGACAAGTGATGAGAATAAAGAGAAATATCAATCAGAGCATTATACGTTGATTCATTACCAAAGTCTCCGAACTAACATCATAAGAATTGCATAGCACACAGTAAGGAGAATTACTAAAGCGATCTTGGGAAAGAGAAATCAAAGCGTTGTGATTTGTTAAATACCTTGAAAGAAATTGAAACTTTGTATTCAATGCCAACGGTATACTTTATGTACATCATGTTCGTATCTTCATAGAAATTTCCAGCCAAAATCTGATGTTTTCCTTCGAAATACGTATTTTCTGTAAAGGTCAAGCACCTCTAAACAAAACTGCCCAATGACTTACTTATTTTTCGTAGATTTTAACCGACTAAGTTAAGCACTTTTTTCTTTTCCTTCTGATAAAAGATGATTAAAGAAATGGTTTGAAAGAAGGAAAGCTAGGGTAAAGCTCCAAAGATAACTTACCGCATCAACAGTGTTTAATAATGTTATGACTCGATCTTTGATGACATTTTTATCCCTGTTATATTTCTGGTACTGTTGAAAGCAGATAACATGATCATTGTGGGGAAAATTCAAGTTTTAGGTCAATTATCAGAACATTTTTGAGTTCGCGAACTCTAATAACCCTTGAAAAAACAAACAAACAAACAAACTAACGTCAACCTGGTCATCGAAAGATTTTGAGGTGTAACTGAAGAACAAAATTTCCTCCTTTGCCTTATTTCCCAGATATACGAACAGAAGAAAATAACGCGCCTTTAAGGAGAGACAGAAACCCAGTAGGGTAGGCAGGGATTACGCGGTTGATCCAAGTTTTAATCTACAAATTTAATTGTCTAAGATTAGACTGTATTGATTGGGTGAGTGAGGGATTTTGGCTTCATAACTAAATCTAGGTAAAATTGAAGGTAAAGGTGAGAGTAAGAGCAGTTGATCTGATAATCAGCCTAAGAAGCAAAGCATTGATCTGTTGTGATAAACAGTACTTACCATTTCATTGTCAACACAAATGAAAATTTCGGTGTATCGCGTCTCATCAGTCGTCAGATATTTCTTGTAGAACTCATCAATATGACCTGATATCTTACGTCTCTCCTGGATCTAAACCAAGATAATCAAACACGGTTGTTTAGAGTAGTGATGAAAATTTGTTTTTACTTTTTGCTTTACTTAAAGAAAAGTTTATTAGTTTATCAATTTCAGTTTTAAGATATATAATTATAGTTATTTAATATAAAAAAGTTTCGGTATTTTTTCTTATTTTTAGCTAATCAAAGTAGGGTTGGTCATTGAGGTCAGAGAGTGTAAGATTGAGAAAGTATTACTTAATTATACGCTAATCTACGTGTTTTTTTTTCTCTTTCGTCTTTTTTTTTTCTATATCGCCTCACGTCTTTTGCCATTTCGCTGTTCATAATACCTTGATCATAACGATCTGCCAAACTTGAGCTTTCCCTTTCCGATTCCGAACTTAAAATTTAACTTTTCAACATTTGTCATTGAATTTGACAATCTTTGGTATATTCTGAATAATAATTTGTTTATTTATTTATTTATATATCTCGTTGTCTAAATAGTGACCACCTACCCTCGCAATTGGCCCAAAAGTTTCGTTTAAGGAATGGGAGTCTGCTTGAGTGTCGTTGTTTCCTGAAGAAAGAAAAAAATGGTGAGTATCAAACGTACCAGCCGCTATAAACATGACATCACAAATGAGTACAGCATCTGTTGGGAATTTTTCTGAGGCAGTAAACTTCTTCAAATAGCAAACAACAACATATGAAACCTTTTTAAAGAAGTTTTGAAGCCAAAAAAAAGGCGCACCGATTGAATGTTATGTTTTCGCAAAGAAATGATTTACCACACTTATGGAAGATATCTTGGGACTCGTCTTCTTCGGCTCTACTGACTCTGTGAATTCCATTTCCCTGAAATTTGATATAATAACGATTTTAAAGAAAACGAGGTAAAAAGGAAGCACATTTTGAGCGACACGACTAACCCTAAGCAATTCACTTGAATAAAAACTTAAGTTACTACAGAGATCTAGCGTGAAAATAGCAATCAGCATTGGCCAAAAACAATACAAACAATCAGAATTTTCATAATGTTGTGTATAGGAAGGTGAAGTGATGAAAATTCTTGTACACTTTTTCTACATTCTACTGATGTTACGATTTGTATTTTAGTTAAACTTGCCTCGTGTCCAGTCTCAGGTATTATATAAAACGTTTCATGGCCATCACCTATCATGCCTCTGAAAAAACAACATTGATATTTCTCATTTCCATATCAAGAAATTTTCAATTAATACGGAAGCAATTTAGCATTTCATTGGGTTTTCCTTTCAACGATGTGTGATTGAAAGTGAGTTATTCACTCACGTTTTTCGACGCCTCAAACAGTGTACTTATTTCTACTTTGCGTTCTCGTTGGCTTAAAGTGATGTTGACTTTTATCAGCTGTTTTAGTTGCTTTGACGATGGTTTTAAAACACGCGACTGAAAAGCTCCCTGGTGTATGCATTAGCAACCGACACAACATAACATTGTCAATTCCTTGTTTCTTTACTCTCAGGCTGCTTGCAGTAAATGAAACAAATCAAGATAAGAAGTCATGCCTTTTCTCCACGCTTCTTATAAAGTATAAACTCCATGGACTAGTATCCTGTTTGCTATTACGAGCTTTTTGTCTTCACATTTGTAAAACGTACATAGCATCTAACTTATCTAGTGAAGATGTCATGCTTGAAATGCATCATACAGTAAACCAGCAATAAAACCTCACCTCAACCCATTACAGGTATTCAGAACGACGCGGGAATCTTTCATTCCACGTATGATGCCTTGATAGTGACAATGATCGTTATCATCCTGAGAGAGAAATGCATACGATGAACATAATGTTGGATGGCCTTCACTCCTCTCCCACCCCACCTTCTTATCTGAAATTCGTATTTTTTTCAAGCATGCTAATGTCTTTTATATAAAGCTAAATACTCCTTTAAATTGACGGATCACCACCAAAAGTTTAACACATTTGCTAATGTAGATAGAGTTTGATGTTATCGATATTTAATCAACTGGCAGAGAGAGAGATTGCATTGGCATTTATACCATAAATTGCTGTTAGCTACCTTCTGAATCAGAGCGATGGTAAGCATCGATATTTTCAGATGTTCAACCAGCAAAAGAGACAGAGATGCAGAACCCAACTACTTGGTGTTTTTAGGAGGAATGTATTTTGTATTTTTATTTGTAGAAAAAGCTTTCGTCCAAAAAAGGCTCTGACGCGATTTGCACATGGAAGCAAACGTTTATGACTGTATGATCAACCTTGTGTTTTCTAATATCTTCTATAACTTATATCTACCTCTTGTATGACCTCTGATCCATCATTTTCGAACGTGCGAACGGCGAATGATGAAGGAATTAGTTCTCTAAAGGAGAAGCAAAATAATGAGACATGTTGATATATTAATATACATGAATCAGATCCACACCTAAGAACATAATGGGACTGCAAGTGAATGAAAAGAGAAAACAAAGAAATAAATAGATATAATATTATGTAAAATGATGAAATGAGCGAGCCAAACTATGACATAAGAAATGAAATGAAGGACAAAAGAAAATAACAACTAGCGAACAAATACACGAATAGGCAAGTAAATTTCAACGATCTTGTAACCATAGATCTTGTTAATAGCATGAAAATAGAATAACAAAATCAAGTACTATTCGTCTCCTTCTTACTTATTTATTTCAAGAGTCTGATTCAGTGAAAAAATGTAACATAGGTTGGTCAATAAACATACTTGTTTCGTTTAACATCTAGGGTCCAGTCCTTGTCAAAAGCAGTCAATCGATAAGAGGCATCATCCACGTGACCTCCCTACAACAACGTAACACGAAATTATTATTCATCAAAATGTCTCTATAAAGATCAGTTGTCTAATGTTATTGTTATGTCAATGCATAATATTTTTTGTTAAATAGTGCGCTGAATGGATCACTTGCATCACAGTCAAAAGTGCATCCAAAGTACGAGTAAAGAACCACAAAAAATAACCTGAAATTGAACGAAAACAACCTTTTCCGAAGTTGAGAGGTCTTGTTTCTCCCGTCTACCGTCTACTCGTTCAGGGCGGGTGAGTTGATGGCTGATATCCTTTGCCTCACCTGAAAATGTTAGCAATATCAGTTGCGAGCTGAGATTTAAAAGTACTTAAAGCCAAGAGAAAATTCAAATATTACATTTACATCTTAAAAACACGATAAATAGGGCGTATTTCGATCAAATGTCATAACACCAAATCCAAAAAGCTGCAGCCACGAATCACAAGAAAGGAACTAACTCAGGGGATCAAGAGAGAATTCAAAGAAAAGATACGCAGACTAGCCGAAGATGGAAAACGAGAGTGACCAAATGGCGACTGCTTTAAGTATGAAATAAATCTTGGTAAATCACAAAGCAAAAGAAGCAAAACCAATGTCATCCATAATTACTTTAAAATTGCTCTAAACTGTGAAAGGAAGCCTACCTTCTTGAATCGAGCTTGCGTTATGCAATAACAGCAACAACGCCCAAACGATCAGTGATCTAGCCACTGTCTGTTTAACCATAGTCTCCCCTCGTCTTTCAAGGGCAAAATTAAAAAGAATTTTTTCAAAATGAGAGATTGTCCAGAGTGTAATTTGGATGCCTAACACTAGCGCAATGCTTTGAAATCGAATGAGGAAAACTTCAAACAGGTTGCATAACGGGAGGAATGGCGACAATCAAAGATAAACTTCTTACGTGCCTCTTTCACGGCGGCGAAAATCTCGAAAAACCAAGAAAATCGTGGCTTACTCCACAGTGGGTTTTTTCTTCGGTCTTTATTTCCCTTTTGACAAAGAGAAAATCAAAATTAGTCATTTAAACACCCAGGATTAACTAACAGATGGTTTTTCAATCACTGAATTAAATGTATGACGTGTCAGGGATGGGGATGGTTTAGGCTTTTCCTGCAATTCCAAAATTCCCCTTTTTTCCTGCAGGTTCAGCTCCCCAAAATTAAACTAGTACTAATCTTTAAGGCTGAAGTTCAGAAAAGAGAAATAAGAAAAGGTACTGCATTAGTCGTGCAGTATGTACGTACCTCGAAATTCCCTCGGTCCGACTATCCAACTAAAGCTGTGAACCTCTCGAGATAAGCGCAAGGGAGAAGTGAGCTTCACCAATAAACCTACACCCAGAAAACCCCTTTTCGGATCACGTGACTATGTGGGTTGCCCAGACTTCTTACAGACCGAGTGACGCATTCCACGTCCTAGCGAGGGGTCAAATTAATATATTCAATCAGCTGTCTGTGGAACTTGAAAAATCAGTATCATGATATTTTGTAGTAGATCACGGAGAAAGGATTGTTTATATCATTAAAAGAGAGGGGTTAGTCTATTAATGCTTACTGAGGGAGTGTAGCCGCCATAACCAGAAACATTCAAGTTCTCAAGTTATGGTAATTCTATTGTTTCGATTCGGAACAAAAGTAATGTCTTATCGTCAATTTAATTAATTTGTGTTCAGATCAATAGGCCAATTTGAATGCTTAATGAAGTTGCTTTATGCCTTGAAAGAGAAAAATGGAAAGTGAAAACTGAACCTTACTCAATAATATAGGCATATGTGGAGGATTTTCAGCGATGAGCGCTTTTAAACACGTTAAAACTGTTTACTTTTGCCATTGTTTTGGTTTAGAAAAACCGGTAATTACAAACCGATTTGACACGGTCTAAGGACTTTTCTTGTCAACAATGCTATTCTAGAAGCAATCTTTTTAACTCACCGACTCCCACAAATGCGGTTGTTACAAACTTAGAACTGGAACAACGTCATTTTAAACTTAATTCATTTCATATTTGGACCAAAATAGATCAGTTTGATATCCAATGGATTTTATATGATTTGAATAGGGATAAAGGGAAAAAAATAACATAAGAACGTTGTTCTACCATCTGTGATTTGAAAATCGCTGGAGCATCGACCCAACAACGCTAAAAAATGCTTATTTCTGTCATTCCTTGGGTTTGAAAGTATCGATCATGAGTGTAATTAAGAAAGGAGTGTGTTTATTGAACTGACACCCCCGGTCTCCCTTGGCGGGAGGAGGGTATTCTCGAAGCCTTTCTTTTTGACTCCCACTCATCCATATGTCGTATCAAACGTACAAAAATTTACGTCATTTTAGACTGAACTACTTCTATTTTCGATAACCTCAAAAAGAGATCAATTGGATGACAAATAAAGTGACTCTGAACTCAGTGCGGGGAAAGAAGGAACAAAAAGTCCAATTAAATTAGAAAATTGAATCAATTCGTGTTTTACGCGCACCTACGTGGATGACGTTACACTCTCAACCGTTGACGTATGAATCAGGACACGGTTTGTGTAAGAAAAAGTTGTTTAGCTCACTTAGAGTTAGTTAAAACTTATACAACGCGCGAAAAGACATAGATAAGAAGCATCGAAGTTCTCTTCGTTGCTCAAGTAAGAAGCGAACTTGAGCTGCATGAAAGCAAGAGTCAACTTCTTACGCGTGGTTCTCGCGCGCGTGTTCGCACAAGCTCCCAAGGATAATGGATTTAATCGGAAAAGAGAAAGCTGCACTCAATTTTCAAAAATTTGGAGAAGGAACTCGCGACTGAGCAAAAATCGTCAAACCTCTCGACAATCTAAGGAAGAAAAAGTGGATTTTCAGGTTTACAGGAGGAAAACAAAAGTTAAAGACAACCAACTCCTATATCATATTCTAGCAAATGCGTCTTCAATTGAACGCACTTGTAAAAATGGTCAATTTGGAACCTTATGTAAGTCGCACATTTTTTTCCTTGTATATTTAATACTTGAATTTCTGAAAATTGTTCCAGTTTCATGGAATTATCTGTGTGTCAATTGACATTCACCATGGAGAGATATCTCTTTTACGCTGCGGCATGAAGACTCTTCGCCCGCAAGAAAAGTCGAATCCTTGAACAGAGCGAGTCTCTTTCAACTTAAGTTAAAGCCTTCAGAATACTTACAACTTTATTAGAATTAAGGTAAAAAATTGAATCACGAAGCTCAAGAAAGCCTGAATAAAGTATTTTCACGAACGTGTTAACAGTTTACATGATTTGTTTACCATGCCAGAACCGTTACCCCAAATCAGACATTCTCTACGGTTAAAAGATGCTCTAATATGCTGTCTGAATCACAAGTCACTGTCTCCATGTAAGATTAATGTCGCGAGTTTCGACTCACTCGCTTTGAGTAGTGTTTGGATTTTATTCTCCACACTCAGTAATTTAAGCGATCCTTTCTAGTGTTATAAAGGGATCAAAATTTTGAGGATGAGGGTGAAATGAGGATTCGCTCCTATCGCAAACACATAACTGCTGCATTTCCTTAGATGATTTCTGCAGATGATATGCAGTTTGCGTGGATTAGAGTCCTGTTATCTCAAGATCAAAACAGTTATTATAGCAATAGACACGCAGTGTTAGAGATTTGTGACGCAAGATAACAGGTAAAAGTTCTCACATTTCTGTTCTTTTACAGGTCTATGCTCAGAAACATAACCTCAAGTGCGTGATGACAAAATATTAAGATGTCTAAGGCCTCAATAATTAATGAGGTTGAGAGGCAGGGGGGGGGGGGAAGTGGGAGACTTCCCCCAACCAATTCTGCAGCGTTTCTCTCCCAGTTCCTGTCTATTCCTCTCCCGTCCCCCGCATCCCGTAACTCGCTTCTACCCTATTTCACAAACTTCCTGCTCTCCGATACAACACAGGACAGAATGGATGTCATGGAATAGAGAGCCCAACGCTCATCAGCTTCCCATGAAAACTGAATAAAAGCGAGAAAACGATTTCAGGTGTTGTTTCAGTGAACCTCTCAGTAGAACCACAAAACAAATGGAGAAAGTCTGCACCTTCATTACAATTTTTCCTCTATCGATATAACCGAGACTCATACAGAGGGTCTGAGGAGAGACAGAAAATCCCAAGAATTCTTTCCAATTTTTACTCCAAAAGGTGACATCGACTTTGTGGGCCAAGATTTTCAGGGCTGCCTTGATTTACAATGCATCTTTGACCACGTCCTCTTCTTATCCAGCGGAATACCGCACATTCCTTACAATACTAACATTGTTTTCAAACCTTTTATTGGCATGTTATCATGATAATTACATTTTGACATGACTAAATTTCCTTTTCCAACAATAATACGCAAGTTATCGACGCTTACGTATGTTTTAAAAAAACGAAGTATGTTGTAAGTTTTGTCACGGGTGTGATGCGAAGCAAAACTTTTCGTCACCCACGAGGAATTGCTCTCCGATTGTGAACAATGCTTAAACGACCAACGATGCCAAACTTACTTAGAGTACCAACAACTTACTGTTTCTTCAATTATTTCCCTCTTTCCTTTTTCGGTTTTAAAAATGCTCATTATAATGCTTAAAATTCTTGAGTAACCAACTTAGAATACCAAAGCTGCAAGAAGCAAATACTTCGGCTCCATCTCGGTTCAACCGGAACACTACAATTGCAAATGTCAATCTAGTATCCCGCAGGTAATCTCCTCTGGGGTTACCTTTGAAAAGGATCTCCATCCTTCTGCTGTCTCAAGCTTATAATTTACAATCGCTGAATCATTGAAAATACGTATGCCCAAGATTTCGGTGCCGGCCCCTATGGGAAATAACAGTATGTTCTCAAAAAGGGAAGTATAATTCAATGCAAACAAGGGAGGATATGATTTATAAAAAAAGAAAATTCTCAAGTTCTTTGACTTTGGACACCGAACAATTAAATAAACCCCACACACAGAAGTTTTCAGCAATG